ACATTTGAGTCTAACTTATACAGGCTTTAATATACTTTCTATTTTATTACAAATTAATTATGCAATCATCCAAAAGTCATATATTACAAGTCAAAAAAATGATGTGAATAATGCAAATACTTGAATACTCTATTACTCTTAGTATATTAATTAGAGATCGATGCCTGATTTACGTACATACAATATAATTGTTTTAGCCAACAATTACATCATATGTATATAAAAATTTGGCATCGATTTTTAATCAATGCACTAAGGTAATAGAATATTCAAGTATTTATATTATTCACTTACAACTTTTTATATAATATTGATGGATTTTATTATGTATAGGTAAAGACGGCGTCTTTATAAAAATTTCACTAGTCACTCATAAAATATAAATAAATTGAACATTAATTGTATTTTTTTTTTTTAAAAAAAAATGAATGCATTAAAAAAATTTTTTTACAAAATTATTTTTCGCGAAGCACCAACAGAAGTTCCAGCAGATGTTAATCTACATGAACGAGATCTTTGCTTTATATGCAAAGATAATATTGACCCAACACTTAAGGAGTCAATAACAAACTATGTATAGAACGTTGGGCAGATAGTCAATGTTCACTATGCCAAGAAGAGTATAATGAGTCAACTGAGCTTGGAAATTGTTATAGTCAAGAAAGCACTCAAGGAATTTCTACTCAGTTGGATAACAATCTTCAAATTGATTCTGAAGATAGTTCGGAAGAAATAAACATTCAAATCTCTCGACAAGCCAGCTCTATTGAATCGTTAATAAACTCTGAATCTGATACTTCTATTACAACTTCACCTATTTCTACTACGTTTGCACCTATATTTATCACTATTACCACATCTACATCCACCACCACTACTACCAATATCACGACTTCTGCACCTGCACTTATATCGACTACTACAACTTCTGCACCTATCTTATCTGTGCCTAAATCTGCTACCGATATTATATTTTTCACACCTGCACCTACTACTACCGATTTCATGACTTCTGCACCTGCTACCAATATCATGACTTTCACATCTGTACCTACGCCTACACCTGCATCTTCTACTACCAATTTCACGACCTCCGCACCTGCTACCAATATCACGACTTTCATATCTGCACCTACTACTACCGATTTCATGACTTCCGCACCTGCTACCAATATCATGACTTCCACACCTGTACCTACCCTGCACCTGCACCTACTACTACTGATTTCACGACCTTCGCATCTGCTACCAATATCACGACTTCCATACCTGCACCTACTACTACCGATTTCATAACTTCCGCACCTGCTACCAATATCATGACTTCTACATCTGTACCTATACCTGCACCTGCACCTACTACTACCGATTTCACAACTTCTGCACCTGCTATCAATATCACGACTTCTGTACCTGCACCTACTACTACCGATTTCATGA